TTTTCTATAGATTGGAACCCTTCCTGGATATAGTAAGAAATATATGCACATAGACTTATGCCAACTAATCTCACTTATAACTATTTTTTAAAATCATCTCGAATGTTCATTGGGCAATGCCACCCTCCAAGAACATGGATAGTGTTGCTTTTTGAGAAAGAAAATGACAAAAACAAGTTTTTCATTCTAGTTGTGAAATGCACTCTTCACAAGACCCACCAGCAGTGGCAATTCTTCATGCACAGATGAGATTGCAATTGTGTCATAAGCAACTAAAAGACCTGGTATCCATCTGGAAGTTCCTCTCACTGAGCTAATGCTGCTTCCTCAAAGAGCTAAATAAGAATTGTCGCAGTACCTACATGCCCTCTATCAAATTCTAAACTAAGTGAAATCCATTGCAATTTAGGGCTTGATATCCTTCCCACTAAAATCCATAGAAACAGCATTGGGCATATAATGAGCTCCACCCCCCCCTTTTTTTTTTAAGAAAACAGTTTTAAGTTAAACCATTGTGCTATTTGCAGCAAGTATTGTATTCATCACACACCTGAATCTGAAAAGGTGCTTGTAATTGCTGGACGACTGCCTAGTCCCCAACCCAGTTTGGAATGCAACCAACCATTACTGTCTTCCCTGTTCCATCTGCATCACCAACATTCCATCAGAGCTCATAAGAACAGATGCAACATTCCTGTTCCTATCCCCCAACTTTTCACCATTTAGTCATCTCTAGAGACCCAAGACCTGTGCATAACTGTGGGAAACAGGAGCATACTAGTCATGGTATCAAGAGTTGTCATGCCTTGACAGGTGTGGTTTTGTCACCTTTAAAACAGAGACAAACAACAGGCCATGCAGCCCCTAGTGCAGGAGTGGGGAACCTCAGATATGTGGCCATCTAGGCCTCTCTCTCTCTCTCTCTCTCTCTCTCTTGGGAATGCCGTAAGGCCATGCCCTCCCCTGACCTTACTCTGTGTCCTCCTCAAGTGCTTTTGCCGGATGCCATGTATCTCTGAACTGTAACAGTGCCTTTTGCTTGTCTGGATGTAGCATGAATAAATAGATGTCTGTATGTACATGTGCAAAGCCTCTGGATGGAATATAGAGGAACATCTGTATGAAGGTAAGAGTCAAATCCACTGCTCTTCCCACTTCTAGCCCTGCCCATCACAGACATGTGGCCCACAAGGGAACGTGGCCCTTGAGCTAGAAGAGATTCCCCACCCCATCCCAAAAGCTGGATCAGTGCTTCACAATATTTAAACCATTGTGCCACTGTTGATCAAATTTAGGCTAAACGTCTCTGAAAGGCATAATCTTTTGTCATCTACTATATTCTAATAATAAAAGTCAATCAACTCTTTTCAAAGATATTTGAAGTCATTCCCCCCCCCCCAAACGCTCACTCTGTCATTCATTCTTTCATGCCCTTCATCTCCATACAGGTGATTCATTTCACAATTTAGAATTCATCTTTTAAAAAAGCAAATGGGAACTTCAAAGGAATAGAAATGACAAGAGGTGTTTAGACAGGGCTGACAGGGCTCCCTATGATTTTAATGGGAGGTCTCCAACCCCCTGGCATTATATGTAGCAAAAGGAACATGTGGGAAAGAGGAACATGTGCTAGGTTTCCAAATTCATCAGAGATGTCATTTGTTCACTGAAACATGCTGGCTTCAGCAGAACAGCCATTGAAACAAACAAGAGCCTCTTTCAGTATTATACGCCAAAGATGCACACACTCAGCTTCTGCTAGCCACCAGGACTCTATCCAAACTGCAATAAAAATCATTTTTGACCCCCATTTTCTGACTGTGTCAATTTTGGGGTGTGTGGCATAAGTATGAGCAACCATAAAGTATTGACTAAGAGCCAAGGGTGTTCTAGATTCAAACTCTGTCCTGGCATAACCCTTCAGAACAGAAACCTTAAGATTGCAGTTGTAGCTGAGGTTTGTCAGGAAGGTTCGGATTCAGTGTGTAGTGTATGTGTAGCTGTGATAACTTGTACCAACTGATGAGTTAGTTGCCCTTCACTGCATATTAGATAGCAGGCAAGAGAGAGAAATTAAAGGAAATTGTTTTTAGGTCTTATAGATCAGAAAAAAGACTATAAATGGAGCCTTTGCAGGGATGGGGGCTGTGTTGAGAATTTACCTACAGGCATGCTGGTATTCCATGCAACTAGGGAAAGGACACTTGTCTTTCCCTTAAAAAATTGTGGTCAAGTATTTTGACAAAACACAGTCTTAAACTGATGACTTAAATGAATGATAGTTGTGCAATGACAGCTTTTTCTCTCTGTTAGGGAGATTGTTCTTGTTGCATATTTTTAAAATATATCTCAATATATATTATTTTACATGCTTACATTTGTGAGGCACATATGCCCAAACTTTATGGCATGGTTCTGGGGTCCTGCTTCAACAGTGGATATCAGTTGGAGAGAGGTGGTGGCCATTCACAGAGGTAAAATGAAGGGCACACATTTGACTTTACACATTTCAAATGTATTCCTGCTACGCAACACTCCCTACTCTTCTCATTTTGAAAAAAAACCACTGTGTGTCATTTTTGGCATTCAGGTGTTACTTTCTAATACCCCAGAAGTGCTGAAAAATAGAAGGAGTTGGAATAGTTGCTTATGATTGCAGCTAATGAGGGAGGAATACAAGGTTACTATTATTATTATTATTATTATTATTATTACTGTATCTATTTATATTTTGCCTTTTATCAAGACTGGGACTCAAGGTGGCTTACAGAAATCAAAACAACAGAGATAAAATAAATAAAGCTAAAAACATATAAAAGATAATAGCTTTAAAGTATGTAAACTATAGTAGAATTTAAACAATATAAAAACAAATCTATCAAAATGCAGAGTGATGGGTCTCCTTCCCAAAATATCATGGGGTATGTGACAAGAGTAGCTTGGTAACAGACACAGTAAGGTGAGTCCTGTTGCAGTTAGCGTGGGAGAAGGAAAACTTTCCCTTTTCTCTAGCTTTTGAGCATACAAACAAGAAGTAACTGGGAAGACAGAATGCTAGCCACAAGGAAGTACCAGGGGGAACACTGGGATCAGAGAACCCAGGGAGTGAATATGTATTGGTGCCAAGATACTAAGGGTTGGGTAGGCTGTTGAGTGATGAAGGATAAAGGATGAACAGGTGGCAAAGGGGAGGGAGGAAAGAGGAACAAGAGGAATAGTTATAGTAGACAGCAACAGTTGTTTAAGTTTGGGGAGAACAGATGGAACCCATGTGAGATGTAAAACAGAAGCCCAGTGAGATGCGTGTATAGCTTAACCAATATAAAGGGAACTGTCCAGTGCTGAACAGACAAACTAGGATGGGTGCAAGGAAAATCCCTGTCCATGTTTTGTGTTTATCTGAAGAGGTGTCTGAAGAGGGTGAAAAGATAGTGAAGCCTGTTTTAATATGAAACAAAAGCAACATAGAAAACAGTGCATTCATGTAGAGTTAATATTTAGCTGCAGTGCTGAAATGTGAAAGGAGGGGGTTCCCTCATTTGTGCTTTTAAAACATTCAGCATTGTTGACCGTGGGCAGCTATTTCCTTATTTAAGGCCTGCTTGGTATTATGTAAGTCTGTGCTTTGCTGTGGAGATAATGCAAGTTAATAATCTAAATGGCCGAAAGGTAGATACAACATACAAGGTTGGAAGAAATGGAGGATTTGAAGGACACGTCAGAGATGGGGGTAGATTACAAAAGGTTAAACACCTGTTAATTTCAGGACCTTATCAAGATTGTTGCAGTTAGCACATTTAAAGGTCTTTGGATTTTGAAGAAGTAAATTTAAAGGTCTTAGATTCAAAGCCTACGAAGTAAGACTTGCCAGGTGGTTACGGTAATTGGCCTATAAAATAATGCTCACAATTGCTGGAGAATTGAGACACCTACACCATCCATTTAGAAGGTGCTCCCCCAACTGCAGCTAGATATAGATTAGCTGAATCTCAGATAAGAAGATTCTCTGTTTCTCCCCCCCCCAGCCTAGCTAGCCTAAAGAAAACACTTATTTCTTTGCAGAGTAAATTCCACCACAGTTGTTATAAGTGATGATGCATACATTTTCCTTTGTAACTCTCTGTAATCCGAGTTTGAGTAAGTAGTTTTAAAAACATAACTCCCTCTCCACATACATATCTCAGTGTAACTAGTTCAGAATCCATTATAAAGAGTCTTCTTACTAGAAGACCCATTTTAAACATTTGCACTTACAGTACCAATTAACTTCTGTTCATTATGTCTGTTTTATTAACCCAGTGTTAAACTAAAGGAGCAGAGAAGTGTGTGTGTTTTAAGCCACCTCCTTTTCCAGAATTGGAAATGAAAACCTACTTCCCAATAGCATATCCTGTCCCTGTTACGAAAATGGCATATTATTATTTTTTTGTTCACTAAGCAAGAATACAAAAGGGAAGAAATAAGAATGTATGGTATAACATGCAAGACTCTATATATGATTCTCCATATGGAGGCAAGAAGATTCTGAGCAAAGGAGGCAATTGTCCTGGGAAGAAAGATTGGCTCTCTCTCTCCACTCCTTACTCTTATTTGGCTGTAATTTCTTTTGGGATCTGCATGGTGCCTGGATATGGGGCAATCTCTTCCAGAAAGTACATCTGTACTTAGCTGCTTGGGAAACAGAAGGAACTATGCTGTACAGCAGGTGAAAGGACTGGCTCAAGTGCCCTAAAGAGAACTATTTCTTCCATTCCCTGCAGGACAGCAAAGATCTATGGAAGATCAAGGAATACAGCCAACCCATTTATAAGGAGAAAAAAGTTGGGCCACTGTTAATCACCTAAGGTGAGGGAAGTAGCTGTGTTTCTGTGAGAAAGGGGGATTCTTCCCATGCTGTAGGATGCCGTCATTACTGAGTGGTCATACTTCACTCTCACTAATGCATTTTCATTGCATAGGTCGTGGGGGAGGTAAATAGGTACAGAATCCACACCCTGTTCTCACCTGTGGATGTTCATCTCCTGCGGTGGCTGTCGTGCTTTGTCATAGGCCACCTTGGCAAAAATGCCTGCAATGACAACAAAGGCAATGGCACCACATGAAATGTAGACGGTGGCATTCGTGTTGTCCTCATTTGGGTCATACCCATTGGGTATACCTCCAGCTCCATCGTTACTGGTGGCAGGGGTCATTAGATCTGTGTTGGGGCGCGGGCCCTGATTCCGGCACCTATCCTGATTCAGCTTCTCAGAGCGCTTGTTGCAGCAAAAGCGGTAATAGCAGGTGCCGCAACAGTAGCGGAAATCCTTCTGGGAATTGTTGCACTCAAACTCCTTGTCCCACTGCCCGCTCACATCGTAGTAGCCCATGCATGTCTCATACGCTGGCACAGAGCTGCCTGCGCTGACGTTGGAGGGTACCCTTGCTGGACTGCGCCCACGGTTTCCCCCACTACCAGCTGCCACAGGAGATGGTGGTGTGCTGGCTTGCGTCTGGTTCTGTTGCTCCTTGGCCGGCTTGTAAGGTCGTCGGGGGGCTGCTGCCCCCTGTGTCCGGTTGCCCTTGGGTGTCCGTAGGGGCCCAGCTGCCTGCGTGGTTAGCAGCAGTGCCAAGGCGTACAGGGCAAGAGGCAGGAGCAACAGGAGATGCCTCCACCCCATGGTGAGCCGGAGGAGCAAAAGTTGGGAGGCAGAGGGCTCTGCCCAGCCCAATCAAGGATCTCGGCTCTGCCACTCCATGGATGGTGAACAGGGGTAGGAATCAGGCGCTCCTCGGTGGCGCTTCACTGGCAGCATCCCAGATCCATCCTCCGTCTCTGGAGATGCCTCTTCATCCCGGCAAGAAGCAAGAGGCACGACTTGGCTGCTTCAGAGCAAGAATGGGCTCTTCTTACTCGGAAAGTCCCGACCTGATCACAGCTCCTCCTGTGATGGGCTGTAAGAGAGAAGAGGACATCAGAGGCTACCTGGTCCAGGAGAAAATGAGCAAGGGAAGGGGGGGTGGACGTGCCAGGGGGTGCTGCAGCAGCTGCCCCTCCAAGGGGGCCTACTCCAAGAGGCCAGAGAGTTAAGAGATCCAGGCAGAGGGTCGCCTTCGGTGTGGAAGGAAAACCTCCCGCCCAAGCTGGCATAGGTGCCACGGAAGAAGAGGAGGGCAGGCAGGTGTGGCTGCTGTGCCCGGACAGAATAGTGCCGAAGCGGAGAGCGGGGCAGCAACAGCTCCCAGAAGCTCACCGGGCAGGGAATTCCCTTGGCACCGTCTCTGGCGAGAAGCAGCACCACTAACAGCAGCAGCAGCAGCAGCAGCAGCAGCAGCGACCCTTGGGCTGGCAGGCAGCGCGGAATGCAGCCCTGACCGGCCACCTTGCGTCCCCTCCTCTCTTTCTTCCCTCGCCCTTGCCCGCCAACCCTGCGCGCGCCCCCCTGCCTGCCTGCCTTCCCTCACTCACCATGCCGGGGCGGAGCGGGAGCACTGCGGAGGTGCCGGACTGGGCATCCTCGTCGCCGAGCGCTGGCCGGAGCTGCCTGCGCCGCCGCTGCTCGCACGGGCTCGAGAGGAGCTGCTGCTGTCGAGCGGGCGGGGACAGCTAGAGGCTGCGCGAGGAGCCGCCGCCTCTCCCGCCTGCCTCCCTCTCTAGGCCCGCCCAGTCCCGGCCCCCTGCGAAGGAGTCGCAGCCCCGCGGCGCCAGGGGCCGACGGCCGAGGGAGCTGGGGGGGGGGGGGGCTCAGGACAGAGTCTGCCTTTCGGGGTGGGGGGGGGGGAGCGAGGCCCAAAGATCCCTGCCCTGCCCCGCTCTCGGGCTCCCTTCACACAGAGGCCACCCTCTGCAGGACTGGCGAGAGAAGCTCCTTTCCCCCCTTTTCCCCTCAGCGCCCGGAGGCGGGCAAAAGGCGGGCGTAACCCCCCCACCCCCGCTCGCCGGAGCCACCTTCCTTAACTGAATGGTACTAAGGGTGCGCGGGGCGGGGGGGGGGCGGGGAGCGCGTGTCCACAAGTTATATCGGGATGGGTTTGTCACGGAGCTGAAAGAGGGGGGCGGGGGCGGGGAGAGGGAGGGCTGGTCTAAAGGGCCCCAAGAAGGTGCCCTGTAGGGTCCTGGGCGCTGCTCTGTGGCCTGGACCTTCGGGGCGTGGCTGTGGGGAGTCTGTTTTGTGGAAACAGAGGCGTCTGTGCCGCATGCAGGAGCCGAGCACACCTTGGCAAGCCAGGTGAATGAAGACGCTGCACTTTCCCGCTCAATCTCAGGAGCAGGTATGAGACTCCTCCCACTTCATCTTCAATCATGTTCTGAAAGAGTGGGGAAAGATACCCATTTGCCACCCGGGTCCCCCCCCCCCCCGTTTTAACCACCTACATACCATGCACACCTGCTCTCACAACAGCCAGCACTTCACTGAACCTGTGGAGGGACAGACTCTCTATGCATGCAGCGAAACGTCTGAGCAGAGCCAGGTGGGTAGCAATGTGCAGGCATAGCTTTGTACGCTGGACTGAGCATTCTCTCTCTCTCTCTTTTTATTATCCCCCCCCCCCCTTCTTGGTTATGCAGACAGAACCTATACCACTCATTCACATTTGCATGGAGTGGAGGCAGTGGATGCAATTCTGCCCTCCCCACATTCAGTGAATGTGTGAAAACGACTGCAGCAAAACCGAAGTGATAGTATTCTGCATTGGGTCAGTTCGTTCTGCAGGTGAGAGCTCGTATTTCTGAATGCTCCCCACAGAAGAGGAAGGCAAAGGAGAAGGGTATCCTTTTATGTAGTAAATGAGCACATCAGGGAAAGTGTGTTAGCACAGCCATCTCCTTGATGGTTTTGCTTCATGCAGAGAGCGTTTTAATGTGCAGGGGACCAGGAGCATTAATAATAATAAAAAACCTACACTGCTACCTAACTATAGTCTGAAATGGAACAATACAGAATTCCACCACCTCTGCCTACCACCTTATTTCATCGAATGGTAGAATTATTGCCCAATAGGGTGATGAAAAAGAATTACGAAGCACCTAATCCGTGAGTTTGTATCCTGGGATTCTGCTAAAGGTTGCATTTGCATCTAGTTCAGATGTGTAAAACAAAATCCAAGGCAATTCTGAAGAGTCCTGCTCTGCTCGCTCACAGCCTTTGCAGGTATGATTGGGGAAGTTAAAACAATTTTGATGAATGGGTGAAATTTCTGAAGAGGGCTGGGTGGGTTTTGCATATCTCTGATATCTTCCTTCATGGGAGGTTGTAGGCAGGGAGTAACGGTGAAGCATGAATCTGGTATGCAACAGCAGTACTCCGTCCTGACCTGTAATCACTCACCCTTCGCTACTGTGTTAAATTTAACTGTCGAGTTCTAACTTTTTAAGTATATGTTGCATGCATTATAAACCAACTGGTAACAAACATCCCTCTCAAGATGGTCAGGGATCTGGAAAGCAAGTCTTGTGAGGAAATCTTGAACAAACTGGGTACATTTAGCCTGGAAAAGAAAAGATTGGAGTTAGGAGTATGGTTATACTTGAAGGGCTGTCAAGAGGGCAAGGTAAACTCTCTGGTTCTGCAAGGAACCAAAATCCTCTCTGTCAGAATTTAGTGACATTTTTATTATCGAGAGCTGAGAGTTTTGTGTGTGTTATGTGATGCACCTGGAACGAGAAGTTCTCAGCATCAACTTCCTGAAGCTCTATTATAAGAGAATGTGGAGTCCTGGTCTACATAACCCAGCAATGTCCACCTTTGGCAGTTGCTTCCCAAGGCCTTGCAGAAGAAGCCTTGCAGCTGTCAGCAAATCCCAAACAAACAAATGGTGAAAATGAGTGATACTGGAAAATTATTATCCAAATTCAGGCATATAATAGAAGGATGCTTTAAACTCCATAGCTACAATTGCCATCACGATCCACTTAAAAATAAATAAATCTGAGGGTCTTGTCAAATTGCTAATGCAAATTAAGCTACTGAGCAAGGAGGCATCCCAAGTCTGAGCCCAAACCCCAAAACGGGTTCAGAGAGGTGTTCCCTCCCAATGAGCTAGAATGCAACTGAAACACATCTCACACAGCACAATCTTATGTATGCTTAAAAAAAAAGGCCCACTGTGTCCAATGTGGCATGCTTCCTGATAAGTATGTATAAGGTTGCAATCTTAATTGCATGTAGGCAGTGTGGTGATGTGGTTAGAGCATAATGGTCAAAAATGCAGCCCTCAAGAGCATTTTTGGTGGCCCTTAGCAACATTTGATGCCCCCACCACACTGTTTTACCAAATCCAAGCAAGTGATGCCACTGGGCTTTGGGAAGGAGGTGTGAAGGCTCTGACAGGGTCCTAGAGTCCTCCTGCTCCTTCCCAAAACTGTGTTAGCACTTTCCCAGCTTGGGGAATGAAGTGGAAGGGCTCTAGGACACTGCCAGAGCCTTGGGCCCCTTTTGTGTGTGTGTCGCTCCCCCCATGACAAGACAGTGTGCAGCCTAGGGGTTCCATGTCAAAGTACTGTTGTGGCCCACATAGTATGAAAAGTTGGGCCACCCTGGGTTAGTATGTTGAACTAGGACCTGGGTGACCAGGGTTCAAATCCTGACTCACCTATGTAGCTCACTGGATGACCTTGGGCTGGTCACTTACTCTCAACCTAACATACCTCAAGGGATTGTTAGATGATTGCTATTTATTATTATAAATTTGGTAAGTGTTTGCCACCTCAAGCTTCTCAGAGGAAAGGAGGAATATAAATGTAATAAAAAATAAAAATAAAACCTGCATTAGAGCTGGGCCCGTAAACACAAAATAAGTAACTGGTCTCTAATAAATGGTTCAGCAAATTAGAGGTTCAATAGGATATTTAAGAGGTTGAATATGATGACAAAAGATCTCAAATCTAGTGAACCAGGAAAAAGGCACATTTCCCAGAAAAATATCGGAGAAACAGAGTGGAGAAGGAGAGAGAGCTTTGGGATTGGTAGTCTGCCTTTGCCCTGACCCCAAGTGCTTCTCTCAGATAAGGACAAACAAAAAGCAAATTAAAGCAAACAGTGGACTAGTTCAGTTTTTCTAAAGTTATATTCCAAATGATGGACTGAATGTGGCTGATCTTTCAGTCAGAAAGATCTAGTTCATTCAGATTATGACCTTGAGCTACTGTTCCAAGAAACAAGAGCCACTTGGTCAAAGCAAGGCCCACAAACATATTGATTGATGTCTTGGTTCTTTTATCAATAATCCTCATCTCAGCAAAAAATGAGAATAACAACATAAGGTTTGCCTTGGTGGATCAGACCAAGGTCTATCAAACTCAGCATTCTGTCTTTAGCAGCAGCCAATGAGATCACTCTGCTCATAAGCAAATTGTGATGGCAATAGCTATCCATACCCACAGTTTGTTATTGGTTCAAGACTGGAGTCTGAGGGTCAAATCAGAAGTTAGGAGTGAAACACATACAGCTCTTAGCCCCACTTTTCCTTCATAATATTAGCATAATATAATAATAATAATAATAATAATAATAATAATAATTTATTTATACCCTGCCCATCTGGCTGAGCTTCCCCAGCCACTCTGGGTGGCTTCCAATTAGCATAAGGGGCTGCTCATACCTTACAGGTAATTTTCAGGTGGTTTGGATTTTCTTTCTTTCTCACCACATCTGAAAATGAACTGGAGGAGGCGAGGATT